TTTTTTTTTTTTTTTTTTTTTTTTTTTTTTTTTTTTTTTTTTTTTTTTTTTTTTTTTTTGTTTTAAATTTACTACAAATGGTTATTGTTTTACGTAGTATACGAATGGGAACTAGTTAAAGAGACTTTCTATAACAGTACCGTAGTGTTCCACAAACTGAAAACCATTTTTTCTTTTTTGGTGAAAATTGCACTATTAATTTCTTGTTTATTATGTAATAATGTACTAGGTTACAGTAACTATAGGCCAGTAGGTATAACATTTGGTAGATTTCTAGGAAAGCATAGATACATACTTAAAAATTATGTCACGTTTGTAACGTACACGTTTCTAGTAGGTAAATGAAATTAATGCATGTACACAATGGGAATAAATAGACTTACTATGAACTATTTTAACGGTTCGAATTGTAAAATGTAGATCACTTAAAATTCTAGTGAGTGCACATGGTAGGTACATATTTAAATGGATGTGACATCATATTAGTGCAAGTCAAACACATGTAAATAACTAAACAACTAAAAGGTGTTTTTAATTCAGCTTTGCTTTTGTTTGGGAATAATTTTTGGAATTGTTATATTCATAAGTATTTGGACTTAACTAAACGTACTACATATAGCTGACTGATTAAGAAAGATTCCTAAATTCCGAAACCACAAATAGTAATTCATTGGGTTAATTTTTGAGAAGAATGATTTCGTTTTAGAATATTCTTTTCAAGACGTTGACAGTACATCGCCATCTATTGATGTTTTCTACTAACTGCAATATTTTAAATGCTTATTAAGGGTCTTATGAAGGTATCTAGCTATCAGGATGGTAAAACAACTTTTGAGACACGAGAGGCTAGTTAGAAACATGTTAGAACAGGAGTAAAAAGGAGCACAGGAATACTTAGACTAGATTGCTGTACCATAAATGGCTTTTCTAAATTTGTGTCTTTAGTATTGTACAATTATTTTGTTTTGTTTATGCCAAAAAAGCATCTACTCTTTGTAGTAGGCCATTTTTCGTAGCTCCTCGAACCCCAAATTGTGTGCGATTCCAGATTAGAATTACAGGACCTTTACACATAGTAATTTTCTCCGATCTGATCATTACTTACAGTTACAATTGCAGTTATTAATTGCCAACTGACACTGCATGTACCGTATACATTGGTGAGCAGTTACGCATTACGTATACTTATTTATTTATGTATGTAATGTGTGGAATGTTAAGTCAGCTCAGCGAACTTATTTAAAATTGGAGGCGTGAATGCTTTTCTTGCAAACATGACCATTTAAGTAGATCGCGATTTAATAGAGGGCGTTGACGTACACCGGAATTATACCGTACTACTGGAGGCAGCTTGTCAACGCCTACTAAGACATGTATACGTCGTAAGGATTATTATAACGTTCAAGGATAATACCACACAGAGGTCCTTTGTCTTAGGAAGATGTAGTAAATAAGTTCATCTACGGTTCGGGCGACAAATAAGGGCAGTAATAGTAACATAACAAATATATAAGTATATATGTAAATTAGATAGATGCATGTATCTGTTATAGAAGTTATATGACTAAAATAAAAAGGATTTTGACCACATAATTCCCATTCACTCCTTGGTAAATTTGCAGATACAAAAAGCTCTAAACTATTCAGGTGAACATCTAGTTCTTTAACATTGTAC